ATGAATTCATCATGGTGATGATTTGCAGGATAAAAGAAGATGGCAAGCAGACCTCACACTGTAACTACAGCATGTGATTTAGGAACAAGACCCTGAGCTTTAACAAATGGGTTCTCTAAGCCCAAACCACCAATTTCAAAATTATACTATACAACATGTTGGGTTTCATGCATGGGAAATCTGGTACCTTCACTGAAGAGAATACATTTAGGGGTGACTTTGATAGTTCGCACATGGACTTTTTACCTCTCATACTATATAAATTTTGAAATTTAAGTATGTGTATGTATACCTATGCATATGTATGCATATATATGCACACATATTAGCATCCCTATAATAAACCTTAGGAAGGTGACTACATAGAAAAGTGAAGTGCCAGTCCTAAAATATCTTTTACTGGTATATACAAGGTGCCAAGATTGTATTTGTTCAAGGAGAAAAAAATTTTGTTCTTTTCAATGGATCCTCTGACTCAAACACCAAAACCAGCCCAGGCTCTTCCAGATTTAAAGCCACGACATTAGACATAGCCCCGTTATGAAGGCTGACCCTGCCTACACTCTGAAAGAGACTTAATAATCAGATTTTATCCACTACTGATGTAAGATTAACAATTAAGAAAGTTTTCTCATCCTTACCAATGAACATTAGACTGAAAATATCTCAATTGCTCATAATTAATAGTTTTAAAATGGATGTTTGACAAAACCTGGATTTCATGCCTTAAATATGATTATGATAATGAATGAGTTTCAGCAACTGTCCCCGCTAAGAAACAGTGAACAGGGCGGGCCTGTCCCACATTCAGGCATTTCATCAACCCCTCATTAGAAGGATCCTGCCTTCAATGGGCACATCAGCCCTCAGATTCAAGAAGGCAGCATTTTATATGAACTATTTATCTGCGGAGCCAAATTAGCTTGACTGACAGGTTATGTCTAGAAAAAGCAGCTACGGGATCTTCCAGGATGAGAAATTTCCTAGTCTAAAAAATTCTCTCTTGGGACTCTGCAATAATGCTTGTATGTAATGATCACCATGTTGAAGCCATTTCCATTCATTTGCACCCAATCAGAGTCCTCAAGCCCCTAACTCCAGACAGGGGTGAACCGCCTGGCCTTCCTGCTCAGTCCCAGGTGAGCACCAACAGAACACAGCTCCTCCCTTGCCTCTACTGGTTAGCAGCTGGGACTGCGGGGTCCGGGCCTCTTGGTCTAGCAGAAGCTTTAGGTGAAGAGATGACTTCCCCCTGGATACTGAGATGCTGAGCTCCACACAGAGAGGTCCACAAGCTACAGCTTTCAGCCTACAAAGGTCTCCGGGTTCAGAACGCTGGTTAAACAAAGGTCAAGGAGAGAAGAGTGTTAGTTTCTGAGGAGGCAACATCCTAAAGCTTGCAGCTCCCTAACTAGGGGGGAACAGACTTGGGGCAAGGGGTGCAGGACACTGGTGGGATGTCCCCAGCAGTTACATGCGATGTGTTGCCACAATCTTCCTCTTGGCCTGGGGACATCCCATGTATCTAAAATTTACCTAAAATGTGTCGGATTTAGAGACTGTTGGGGTGATTGTACTTTGAAAGGAATTAGATCACCTAATATAGGGGCTGGCAAACTTTTTCTGTAAAGAGCCAGTCAGTCACTATTTTAGACTTTGCGGACCGTATGGTCTCTGACATAATTACCAATCTCTGCTTGTAACATGTAAACAGCCACAGACAACATGGAAGTGAATGGGAATGGCTGTGTTCTAATGAAACTTGACTACCGGTAATAAAATCAAGCGGCGGGTCAGATTCAGCCCAGGGGCTGTAGTTTGCCAGCCCTGAATCCTCACAATTGAATCCAGTCAACAGAGTCTCCTGGCTATAAACTTCAAGTGTCAGAGCACTTGAAGTTATAATGTTTTATTCTGATGGCTCCTCAAAATCCTTCTCCTACCTTCCAGAGTCACCCTGATCTTTTTTTAGTGGAATTAACTAGGAGTCCCTCCCATTGCCTTAGTAAAGTCAAATATCAAAAATTCAAAATATGAATCTGTATCAGTTACAGCCGGGGAAGAAGCAGACAAGACAAAAATCTGCGTACAGGCCACTTGGAAGGGGCAGTGTCCTGGCACAATACAGAGTTCATGAAGGAAACTCTGATCAACAAGAGAGAGAACTTCAACAAACAGCAATTCCAACAAAGCAGTGCCTTCTGGGAAATTTTTTTTTTTTTTTAATCACTAGAAACACCAGAATTGTAAAGAAAATGAGGTTACCTATGTTGTCATTCACAGAGTCACCACTCTGCAAATAAATACTACTGGTGTGTTTTGTTCCAGCCCACCCTGCCTCAGGGAGAAGACATGCACAGCTCGGACGTAGAAAACAGGCTTCCCCGAGCGGCTAAGGAAAGCTCTGATGAGAGATGACTCTTGAATGCCCAGAAATCTTGGAAATGAAGATGCCCGATTCCCTCTGCATTCAGCTATTTGATTTGGCATGGGCAGAAATAAAGTGGTGATAGCAATTTGTAAATTGGCCTACTTCACAGTGCGGCAGGAGGAAGGACTTTATCTAGAAGCCGCAGCCTACTTGGGCAAGGACACTTTCTAAGACAGCCATGTGGGACATAAAGGCTAACTCAGCAGCGACGAAAGCCCTGTGCCTGTCTTCAGCCTCTTTTCTTTAAGCCTGATACCACCACTGCGGCAGAGTGAAAGTAATTTGCAAGGATTTGATTGCCTGGAATGCTCAGTACAATATTATTTTAAAAATTAAGAATGAAAACCTTCAGCACTCACCTCGATTTATGCTTCTGAAGAGTGGAGAAGGGAATGGCAGTGTTAAAGGTGATTTCTGAGGGAAGGGTGGAGCTGGGGAAATAGCAGCCGTGACTGAACAGAGAGCGCTGGTGTACCTACGACCTTCCCTAACATCCCTTCCTTTCTCCCGGAGCTTCACAGCTGGCCACCATATCTGTCAGGACCACAGACGCCCGCTTGCAGTGTCCACAGAATGGGTTACGGACATCAAGAAAGAATGGGCACATCAGTCTTCAAAGGGACATGGGAGCTGTGAGGAGGCACAGGGTCCAGGATTTTCCTCAAAGAGGTTCGAGGTCCCTTCTGATCAACACCACACTTATCCCCCTGCTTAGATTCTCCTCCTCCTCTTCAATAATGATTAAACATCCAACTCAACATCGCTCTTTGTATGAACTTACTCGATTAGTCCAGGATTACAATGTCATAAGCCTGATGCAAATCCCTGACAGAGCATTAGCCATATCAGAAGTTCTATTACAAAACATCAGACAAAGTATAAACACTCATGCCAAAAATCAGCAGTAATCACCCATCTAACTAAACAAAAAGCAGACTAGGCAGAAGAGTGTAAGAATGAAACCTCTTAGTCAATTTTCTGGTTAACTAAGTGTTAAATAAAAAGGTTTTTTTTTTTTACTGAAGTGCTTGTTTTTTCTTAATTTTGCTACATGAATTGATTCGACATCACCCTCACATAACAGTAGTCAGTGCAATAAACACAATGTATTTTTTCTTCGATGACTGAGGATCTAGCCATTATTTTTAATACAGTGTCATCAGTTTGATTACCAATGATAACTATATAGAACTCATCCCAAAACAAACTCAGAAAATTGCGCTGAACATATTCTGAGCCCAGGGTAAGGCCTGCGATTTGATTTTAAATAAATTCTTTCAAATAAACAAACTCCATTTGCTTCTTTGCCTTCACAGACAAGTGCAGTCACAAGTTCTGCTCAGAGACTGTAGCTCATTAGAGTGTAGACCCTGCACAATAACTAATCCTCTAACTCGTGTTTTCACATCCTGAGTGTGAGCTGATGATGCTAGGGAATGGTTCTGGGGTTCAAGAAGGGGTTACTGAAAATAAAGAAAGAAGAAGGAGAGAGCAGGACATGAACAAAGGGGTAAGAAAGAGAAGATCGACAAGGGAGGGGCTTTGGACGTAGGAGTGATCAAAGGACAGAGAGAAAGAACCTGCCAGAAGACAGCTGAGTGCAATCCCACTTTTTTGTCTCCATAAATTAAGATGCATATCCTTACTCTGAGCAGTTGGTTCTTACAGATCCTGATATTGATGTAAATGGCCAAAGACAAAGTAGGAGTGAAATCCTATGGAGAGTTACTGTACAAGCATCTGCTTTGCTGCTACTTCCCTAACGGCCCATGATGCTAAGGGCAGAACACCCCTTCAGCCACCAACCTCATGATGGTCACTGTGGTTAAACACCAGCAATTAGGAGGGTTCATTTACAGGTTAAGACATGCACTAATTGTCCAACTTTATAAAGAAATGACATCCTTGACCCAAAGAAAAATTATATTCTCAATGATCAACTGAAACCTGCAGTATCCTTAGTAACAAAATCATAATACATCATTGTTCCTCATTATTCCACTAACCCCGTGGTCGGCAAACTGCAGCTCGCGAGCCACATGCGGCTCTTTGGCCCCTTGAGTATGGCTCTTCCACAAAATACCACGGCCTGGGCGAATCTATTTTGAAGAAGTGGCATTAGAAGAAGTTTAAGTTTAAAAACTTTGGCTATCAAAAGAAATTTCAATCGTTGTACTGTTGATATTTGGCTCTGTTGACTAATGAGTTTGCCAACCACTGCACTAGCCAATCAATTTCAGTTTCAACAACTCAAGTAATTGGAATATGTCCGTACCCCACACAGACCAGGCCAGAAACTCTCAGGGGGAGACTGTTGTCTCTAACCATTGAACACCAAACTAGCCACGATCTTTGGCTGAGTGTGCATCTTTCACAGAAGACAAGGTCAGCCCCTTCATAGCCTTTCGTGGTAACACTGGGACTTTAAAAGAGAGCAGGATTTTAACTAAGCAATAGCTGAAATGCTATAGATACATTTTTAAATTATAGAATCACTATGTAAGATTTCATTAAAGCAATAATAATAATAATAATAATAATAATAAACAACTGTAAATTAGTGGCCTACCTATTCCTGAGTTAGCTCCAGTAACTACAACCACTTTGCCAGTGAAGTCCCGACCCTGGAGTATTTCCATGGCTGTGGTGCTGCCATCGTATCTCTGTCTGTTGGTTGGCTTTGTAGGATTATCATCCACAGTAAATGCCAATCTTGGGTCCAAATAGGTAGTTCTTTTATTTATATGGCTGCAAAGAAAGGGAGAAAGCAGTGACCCCACAGCAGTGAACACAGGCATTTGTAAGTGTAAGATAACGTTACAGTTTAGGCTAAAAAAAACCCATTCTTCATGTTCTAAGACGGCTTATTCTTAAGCTCAAAAAGAACTGAAGTCCATGTAGTCTATCTTCTGGCCTCAAGAACAACTACATCCCTGCTGGAAAGAGAGTGATCTACTCCTTTCTTTCAGAACTGCCTATAAAATATGCTGTAACACACACTATGCATTGCCTTGTACCCTTAAAATCTCAAGAGAAGAAGGCATTAGGTTTGTTTTTAATTCATGTAAATGTGGCTATAAGATCTGTCAGTCACTCTTTTTAGTAGATTTCAATTAAATCTTTTGGCCCTGTGCAAGGGCCTAAGGAGATTGGCAGAGAAATAGAAAACACAAAATGGTAAGTCTCAACAGTAAACGTGAAACTGATCAACTACTAAATTTCTAAAGATTTTCCTTTTAAGACTGTAATCATGATTCCTACCAGCACTCTAATTTTGATTTGGAATTGATCTCAATATTGTAGAAACAATATTAAAATATATTTGGGACACGTGGATTAACAGGTTACTCCTTATGTAAAGTATTTAATGCATTTTAAATTCTTGGGATTTGAGCTAAAGACCCCCAAAACTGTAAAAACTAGCAAGAACTTTCAGAAAGAGATGAGATTTCATGATTTATAAAAGTAAATATAGTTTTATAACTATACTTATCATCCTATAAATACTAAGGCCCAAGAACAATCCAACTTTCATTGTAATTATAGCCATAGCTGCCAGGTAAGCGTTTGCACTCCAATGTTGCATGCAGACAGCAGAGCGGTGCTATGCTGGACCCAGTTCACATGGGCTTGCAAGAGCCCAATGTGCATAAATCTCTCTCCCCAGCTCCTCGGTGACTTCAACTGGGGAGCTTGCACCAGGCTGCGGTGAAAGTAGTTACACCGTGGTAACAAATCTGGACTTTCCCGCCAGAGAGCTGTGTTAACATGAGCCAGCACACCACTCCGGCAGCCCCAGGGAGGTAAGATGACCAGCCAGGGCAGCCCAGGCCGGCTCGCCTCCCTTGGGGCACTGTGGGGATTGAATGAGCCACTACTACAGGTATAAGGTGACGAGAATCACGCCTGGCTCACACAATGTGCTAGATCCCGGTGGTTACTGCTATTGTTTGTTATGGGAATTTACTCTAAAGAGAGTTTTACAGATAAGAAATGTGCAAAACATTATTTATAGGTACAGCTGTCCAGTAATAGGAATTGAACAACACCACTGCCCACTCTCTCTACAAAATAATACTCTATAGCCATTAAACATTTTCTTGAAAAATATATAAGGATATGTGAGAATGCTCACAAATACATTACATGGAAAAACAGGCTACTAAGCAGTTCACAAAGTACATTTCCTTTTTTTTTTTTTTTAACTGTGTGTATATAAAACAGAACGGATGAATAAATGCAAAAATTGTAAAAGTAGTTATTCCTGTTAAGATTACATCATATACTGTGCCATATTTTTCTACAGTCAATGTATATTATTTTTATGATAAAAATATTTAAAAGTAAAATGGCTGAAAACAGTTACTATGTAGACACTTACTCGACAAAATACACTTGTCCATTCTCATCCGTTTCCTGCTCCCATCCATATGGCAAATCTGAAACACAGGAAAGACTGAGGTCTACACGAGGTAGGGGTGGGGTGAACTGGGCAGGGTACTCCTGGTCCGGAGAGAGGCCGTGCCCCTGAAGCCTATGCCATCAGGCCACACCTGGGTCACGTGTTCCCATTGTGGCAGATGCTGAAGGTTCAACTGCCCAAAGGGACTCCACGTTTCTGCCTCTGGCTCAGAAATGAAACTCTTAAACTCTCCACTCAGCTTCAGCTCCTGCTTTTGATGAGGACTTTACTGGGTGCTCCAGTCAATGTGAATTCTCCCTTGAATGAATTCGCAGAATGTACCTTATTCAATATAAATATGAGTTCCATTGTTTTTTCCATCGGTACATACTATCTCTTCAACTAGACCTTCTTATACCTCTATTCCGTGGGTGACACTCTTCTTCAAAAGCACCCGTAAGTCATGGCGATCTCGATGGAATCCCATCAAACACTGGTATATTTAATTCCACAACAGGCACCAAGAACAAGTTTACAACCAGTGCAGCTACAAGAAAATCTAATAAACTGTGAGTCAAAGGCCTCTACTGTTGTTATGCTTTTTAATTTCAGTCCGGAAAGAAATCATCCTCACCACTCCACCCAAGGACCTCATCACCTCCTTCTGCCAAGTCCCACAAGCTCCTGGGAGTGCGAGTCCAGCTCCTGCTGGCTCGCTATCAGAGGACCTTCCCAGAATGACACAGTGTCCTGTCACCTCCCAGCCCGGGATGTTCTCTTATCTAATTAAAGCTTTACATACAAAGGGCTTTGCTTTATGACCTCAAAAATACAAACCTCCTGCTATTCGTTTTCTTTTTCCAGTTTTCGGATGTTCCCATTGGGTCTTCTCTTCAGTGTGACTATTAAAAAATTTCACAAAACAACAATAAGTAAAAGTTATACTTCTATTGGGTCGGCAACTAAGTAATTGCGGATTTTTAAAAGAAAATCAAAGACAATTTTTTCATGGAACTAAATAACTTTATTCTGTAATGTATTGCCCATTTTGATCAATGACCTTTTGCCATCTTTCAGGCAGCATCATAATTCCACGTTCAAAAAACTTCTGGTTTTTATTAGCAAAAAACTGAATCAGGTACGATTTGACATCATCATCATTATTGAATTTTTACCATTCAAGGAGTTTTGTAAAGATCGAAACAAAAAGTAATCAGATGGTGCAAGGTCAGGACTATATGGTGGATGTGGCAAAACATCCCAACCAAGCTCCATTAATTTTTGCCAAGTGACCAAAGATGTGTGTGGCCTTGCATTGTCATGATGGAATACAACACCTTTTCGATTTGTCAATTCGGGCCGCTTTTCTTCAACTGCATTGTTTAATTTCGTTAGTTGTTCAATGTAGACATCAGAATTGATCGTTCGGTTGGGTGGTAAGAGTTCAAAGTAGACAATTCCTTTGTAATCCCACCAAACTGATAACAAAACCTTCTTTTGATGAATATCAGCTTTTGATGTTGTTTGAGTTGGTTCACCTGAACTGCTCCACGATCTTTTCCGCTTGATATTGTTGTAAACAACCCATTTTTCATCGCCAGTTATCAGTCGTTTTAAAAATGGATCATTTTCATTACGTTTCTTTAGCAAATTGCAGCTGCTAATGCGTTGCGTTAACTGTGATTCTTTCAGTTCGTGAGGAACCCATGTATCGAGTTTTTGAACATAGCCAAGTTGTTTTAAGTGATTTTCAATGCATGTATGTGATACATGAAGCTTCTCTGCAATCTCACGTGTTGTACTGTGACAGTCCGAGTTGATTATTGCTTTGATTAGGGCGTCATCAACTTCAACTGGATGACCAGAGCGTTTTTCATCTTTGAGTGAAAAATCACCAGAACGAAATTTGGCAAACCAATTTTGACACTGCCGTTCTTTTAAGGCTTCGTCACCATAAACAGCACATAACTTTTTATGAGCTTGCGATGATTAATTCATTGCATTAAATTTTTTCTCTCCCAGATAATACTACCTCTTGAGAGCAGGAAATTTACATTCAGGAAGAAATAGAACATAAATGTTACTGTTTGCATCAAGTCAAATTCCCTAGATTGGGAGAAGCATCGACCTGTGGAAATGTCCTGAAAGCCTGCCTTACACACTGGCTGGAGGGCAGGGGAGGGAAGCAGGGAGGGAGGGAGGGAAGGAGAGAGGAAGAGAAGGAGGAAATGGGAAGGAGGGAGGGAGGGAGGACCACAACTTCAGTGTTAGGAAGCCAGCTCAGTCACTCCAAGTATCTAGAGAGGAGTTTTGTTTTAGATTTGTTTTAGTTTTATTCCAGAGTAGATTGACAAACTTCAATCAAATCCATAACGCTGATATTTAGATACTTAGATATAATTGTAATCTCCTTAATGTTTATTCTTCTCACAGATATAATTTCAAAGTGTTTTTTAACTACTGATTCCTAATTGCTCCTAAGAGGTAATTAAGAGTGCATGGGTCACCGAGCTGTGTGCCTTAGGTCAGAGTTACTCAGCCTCGGGGCCTCAACTTCCCCATCAACGAGAAATGGAAATAATCCCAGCACTGAGCTCTGGGGAATGTTATACTGCATACAAAGGGTTAAACACAGTACCTGGCATATCAGAAGCCCTCAAAAGTGTTAGCTACTATTTTAAACAAATCAAGTATATAAACTAGTCTGATCTCTGTGTCAAATTTAGCATTTCATCTCAGAAATGCACACAAAGTTATAATTAAAATCAAAAGCCAACAACAGACTACACACCTGTCATCAGGTGATAAAGTATAAAGGAAAACACAAAATTACTTAATCAGGGAAACAGATGGATGTTTCAAGAGTCAATCAAAGGGGAGGATGATTTCCTAAGTTCACATCCCCCTGCCAAAGGAGAAAATATTTAACATTAGAATATTCCTTCCCTATCACTTATTTGAAAGAGAATAAGTATGGAGAGCATGAACTTGCTGTAAAATTTTACAGGTCGAAAGCAAGTTCTTTTCAGGCCTTGTTGGTATAAAATCTGTGTGGCCGGTGCAGGGGCAGCATGGACTCTGGGCTCAGAGGCAGACCTGAGCTCCTGTGCCACCTGCATCTAGTCAGCCAGGCCCCCTGGCCACTCACTCATGTCAAGGAGACACCAGACCTGCAATATTGATTGGTGACTGATTAATCTAATGTACAAGCAAAGGGTATCAGTATCAAGGACCAGCTCCTACTTGTCTATACATGAGCATCATCAAATCCTACTTGCAAAAACGGAAGCCCGGACTCCCTGGTAAGGATAACCTGCCCCTTGCTGACAAGACCCCTGCTTCTTGCAAACTAAGGTAACAGTAATCAGATAAACCAAACACTGGCCACAATATAAAACCTTTCTGCTCTTGGCTTTGCCTGCCTCATGCTTCTTTGGGGAAATTTACAGATGGGATCGCATTTTCCTTTGTCTGACATTAAATGAGCCTGGAACCCGGCACTAAAGCATCTGCCCTCGGGAGAGGAATGCTGACACTCTGTGGCATCCAGATGACCCCTCAGGCACCCAGCCCCACCTGGCTGATAGGAGGTGCTCAAATGTAAGCATGTGGAACGAACAAAGGCTTTCCCAAGAAGGTGAAACATTCACTCAAAACACCGTTTTTCTCCTATCCTGAGAAATATTTTTAAAAAATAAAATAAACATTGTCATGCCATCTTCTCCACTGTGACAGAAAATGCCTAAGCCAGGGCTTCTGACACTCACACTCCGGCCACGTGGGCTGGATGGCTCTTTGCTGTGGGGCCGTCCCGTGCATTGTGGGATGATTAGCAGCTTCCCTGGTCTCCACCCACTAGATGCCAATACACCCTCCCAGTAAGTGTGAAAACATCAACTGTCTCCACACACCGCCAACCCGTCCCTGCCGGGCACAGTGACCCGTGGGAGGACCCTGGGCCCAGCTGAGGTGAAGACAGTGTGGCTTTGGTGGTGAGGGTTCCAGAGCCGGATGCCCATGTGTTCTGGCTCTCCCATGCACCAGCCGCACGCCCGTGGAGGGTAGTTAGCCTTCCTGTGCCTTATTTCCGCATCAGTAAGATGAGGACAATAGCAGCACCCACTTCTTGAGGTTAAAGTAAACAGAATGAGTTAACCCCTATGAGCCATACCTTTCACATAGAAGTATTAAATTAATACTTACATATAAAAATTAAAGTGTTCTTTTAAACGATAACCTAAAGTGACTTTTTAATGCCCAAAAAAACTATGACACATGTTATCTTATTCTCCCTTAAACAGAAGCCCTCTCTTATTTTTCTTTCATTAAGCTTTTTTGTCATTTAAAAAGATAATTAACAGTTATCTTTAGATATTGCATGGCCCTGTTGCAATGGGAGGAAGACAGTTGGGAAACAGGAACTACCTGAAGGGCAGGCTCCTATGAGCCCATTAGTGAAGGCTCCCAAACCCCAGGAGAAAGACAAGTGACCCAGAGTTCCGAGGGGAAATAAGAGTCAGGATACTTGCAGGTCAGGAGAGATCAAGGGGACTGCTGGGAATCCAGGGGTAGGACTGGTCCGAGACATCCTTCAGCCCTGAGAGCCAAGGAACAGAGGGCTAGAAAGAGGTTCTGGAGAGAAGGGTCCCCCAGCTGGGAGCCAGCCATGCCTGGTCACCAGTCAGGATAAGCACTGGGGCCAGACTGGCCAGTGGGAGACCTAAAACAATGGTGGGGGCTAGGGGTGGCTTTTCAGAGAACACGTAGTTGTTCCCTGAGGCCCCCCGCCATGGGCTCCCGGATGCTCTCAGAGGAGCCGGCTGGCAGGTACAGATCATATTTCATGAAAGAAGAGCCCCAAGTCCAGACACCGGATGCCATGTAGAAAGGAAGCAAGTGGGAAAGGCCACAGGGAAAGGGGCAAGGGGACAAGGCAGGGTGAGCACATGGGGAACCTGCAGACCTAACACCGGGCTCCAGGCAAACCAGAAGGGAAGCCAGGAACCTGAGGGAAGGGGCCAGGACTGGGACAGGCCCCACAGAAGAGCAGGAGGAGGGCTGGAAGGCAGGAAGCGGTTGTGTGCATCTTTTCCGTCCCAGGGCCTACTCCACCGCCTCCCTACGGGGGCCCACGGTAAACCCTCACTTCATGAGTTACTGTATTCCTTCCCCGTGGATTTACTCTACAGCGCTGAGCACGGGGGATACCGAGGTAAACCAGAAAAGGCCCCTGCCCTCGGCAAGTTTACAGTCTAGGGAGGGAGACAGAGCCACGCTGGACAATGCTAAGTGCCAGGAGGCAGAGATCAAGGTGCTGGGAGGAGTGTACCGGGTGGGACAAAAGCAGAAGGGGCCTAGGGCAGTGCAGTAAGCAGAGCTCTGAGGGATGTAAGGGCCCTTGAGGAAAAGGCACAGGGAACAGCAAGTGCTCCTTCAGGAGCTGCCTATGACTCCCTGCTGCTGAACTGTCCCTTCCGTTCTCCAGAGCAGAAATCATCTTTCTGAAGGCACTAGCCCGGTGGTACCACTTTCTGGCTTCAATCCCTCTGCGCTAAGTGCTTTATGTACACTGCCTGAACTAAAACTCTCCTATAAACCCATTTTACGGATGAAAACACTGTAACTGAGAGTTCTGTCAATAGCCCAAGGTCGTACATACAGTAAGTGTAGGGAGAAAGGGTCTGCTAGTGTTTCTAAAACTTTCCCGTGCAACTATAATGAAGCTATATTAGCTATAGTATATGTGCATACACACATGTGTACACATATACATAGATATAGTAGGACAGCTGTTAAAAACGCACACTGCTAGATCCCCACCCCAGACCCCTGAGGGGAGAGATGGACACCTACATTTTTTTTTATTGTTCTGGGGGGAGGAGGGTGGATCAGGCCCTTTGCCATCATTGCACTGTGCGGCGCTGCTTCCTGAGCAGCAGAGGGCGCTCCAGGCCGCCCCCGGGTGACCACAGCTCAACCCAGGCCCCAGAGAGAGGAGGGTCCCTTCTCAGGAGCCTGGACGCTCGCTGCTCAATGCCACTGCCACTTCGCCCGACCTCACCGAGCTGGAACGCAGACGGTTCCCCACCCCGCGCAGGCGGGGTTCGAGGGCAGCCGCGTCCGGGGCCCGTGAGGCCGGCAGGTTCCAGGTGCGTCCCACTGCAGGTGCCTCCCAGGCCTGGCGGGCCCCCGGCGGCTCCCCTGCAGCCCTCTTACTTGGCATAGTACACCCAGCCGTCCTTGGTGGTTCTCTGCTCCCAGCCCAGGGGCAACTCGTCCTCGCTGTCCGTGTCGTCCAGGCCCGCATAGCGCAGGGCTGCCATGGCGGAGCTGGGTCACCCGTGCAATCAGCCGCCCGCTACCGGGACTCACGCCCAGAAACTCCCGCTTCAACCGAGCACCGCGCGCGTCCAGACCCCAAACGCTCGCGCCTGCGTACTGCGCCGCCCAGAGTCGCTCAGCCGATCCGGTAGCTGGAATCCAGTTTCCGAAATTTACTTTGCTGGCAGGGTAAAAGGGGCGGGGCCTGAGAAGAACGGTAGTAAGAGTGTCGAGGAGATGGCACTACCGCTCAGCTGGAAGTAAAATCTGGAGAAGTTCCAGGACTGTGGGAATGGAGCTGAGCCTCGTTATCAGTCCGGCCGCAGGGAAGGGGAGAGGACATCCAATTAGGGCCCAGGACTTCGCACATTGCTGGGCGACCCGTAACCACGTCCGCATTATCCTGACCAATCCTAGAGGTGCTCTTGCAAGTGGGCATCCTGGGAAATGTAGTTCAGGCCCAGTCAGACTACAGCGGAGCAGAAAGGGTGGCTCAATGCTGATATTATGGAGTCTCGCCTGTTCTTGTTTTAAGACCTTTGAAAGAGTGAATCTTCCTGCTCAGAAAGCTTCCAGCGCTTTCCATCACCCAGGCTGATTCACAAAGTTATTTATGCCTGTGTAAACACAATATTATAAAACTTGAGGACTGTTAAAAATTCACATTCACTCATCTGATTAACCAGTCTTGCAGAAAACTCTTACAGCCAGAGCATGGTTCTGTTAATTTTTTTTTAAAAAAGGGCTAACGTTTCAGAATTATTTATCTGCCCTGATCCGTTTGGCTCAGTGGAATCAAGGGTCCCAGGTTCGATTCTGGTCAAGTGCATGTACCTTGGTTGCAGGCACATCCCCAGTAAGGGTGTGAAGGGAGCAGCTGATCCACGTTTCTCTCTCATGGATGTTTCTAACTCTTTCTCCCTCTCACTTCCTCTCCGTAAAAAATCAATAAAATATATATTTTTAAAAAGAATTATCTGCATAAGCCGGACTAAATAGAGCACCACATCTTATGCTTCTATCACTAGCAGTTAGTAAAATGCCTAGACCAGGAGTGGAGAACCTCAGGCCTGCGGGCAGTGTAAGGCCTAGGGAAATAATTTGGTCTGGCCCTGTCAATTCATTAGGGTGAGTTAATTAAATGTTGACCGAATATAGTAGGCTAATTTTTTTAATTGATAATTCTGTAGGTTCGGGAATTATCAAATGGCTCTTGGCAGAAAAAAGGTTCCCCACTCCTGGCCTAGACCTGGGTCAGCAAACTTTGGCTTGCGAGACACATGCGGCTCTTTGGCCCCTTGAGTGTGGCTCTTCCACAAAATACCATGGCCTGGGAGAGTCTATTTTGAAGAAGTGGGGTTAAAAGAAGTTTAAGTTTAAAAAATTTGGCTCTCAAAAGAAATTTTGATCGTTGTACTGTTGATATTTGGCTCTGTTGACTGATGAGTTTGCCGACCACTGGTAGACCAACAGGTTTATTAAGTGAAATGAACAGACGAATGAATGAATGTGATTCCTTAGGTTTGGCCTTCTATAAACCTAATTTGAAACAAAATTTCAAATTTACAAAGTGGATGTTCTGAAATCCTCCTGGAGTACTTATAAGTATCCTTTAATGTCCTGTGTCAAAAACCAGAAGCATATCTTCAACTTGATCTCACCCAAGGCATTTTCCAGAACATTCCCTCTTTGGATCTTGCTACACAGGCCAGCATTACAAGGAAATCTACTGACCATGATTTCTCTGGCCTACATCACCAGAGGAGTGCAAGTCTCCTTCAAAAGAACTACCTATTTTAACGGAGAGGGTGGTGATCAGTCTTGCTTTTAGTTTTCTTCAAGTCCTAAAACTGATATTCTTTGTGGTTCTTGATTTACATACTCTTTAGAAGACTCACTTTACTTTGAAAAAAAACAAAAGCTAACTTAATGAAAGCATGTTTTCATTTTAACAGGTCCTCTATCTCACCTCAGACCTACAGAAACATCACTCTTTCCAAATATGCGAGCATTTAAATAAGCTACCATTAAATTGCTGCTCTTTTGCTCATCCCAATTTAACCCCTTGCCCCTGTCACCCAAGCCAATTTATTCCTTTGGTAGATATGAATAGGAAATTAAGTGACAAAGTCTCCAAATAATAAGGGGGAGGAGGGTGAATGGAGTCAAACTGATTAGCCTCAGTTTCTCTGCTTAGTTTCTCAAGGACTGATTCCTTAGATTTTTATTTTGAGTTACCCTCACCAGAACCTCTACTGGCACCTATTGCCTGTGTCTTGGCACAAAGGTAGGGTTAGAATATGGTAGGGGTGTCGAACTCAATCAGAGAAGGGGCCAAAATCTAAAATCCAGCCTAAATCGCGGGCCGAATGATTTACTGAACAGTCATAAACTGTCATTGTGATGGAAACGCAGCGGAGTGCAGTGATGACAGCGTGGTTCGGGCCACTTTGCAAAGCCTGGCGGGACGGATTTGGCCCGCGGGCCTTGTGTTTGACACATGTGGAATATGGTATCTTCCCCACAATGGGTAGTGGTCCACATGGTAGAATTCTCAACTTTTGGTCCAACCCTCTTCTCTTCCCACCACTTTAACTGTTCCCTCTCTGCTTCTCCTGCCATGGACACCAGAGTTCTCAAACCTCGGCACTCGTGACGTTTAGGGTCAGGTAAGTCTTTGTTCTGGGGCACTTTCCTGTGCAGTGGAGGATATTTAGTAGCATCCCTGGCCTCCATTCACTAGATACCAGTATGTCTCCCTTCCCACAGCTGTAACAACCAAAAATGTCTCCAAACATTGACCATTGTTCCCCCTGTTGAGAACCACTTATCTACACTGACAATTAATCAGGAAATTACTAACTCGTAAATCAAGTATTGAAAAGCCCATTTTTGGCCAGAGATTCATAGGTGGTACTCACACACTGCTGGTTCTGATTGCTGAGTTCTCCAGCCTTGTCTGAGAGCACCTGCTACTCCAATTCCTTGTTCATCAGATGAGAGACATGAACTGACAAAAGTCTGGCTGGGTGGCCCAGACACCAATAATAGTCCCAAATGGTTGTAATAACCTCAGTTGATCCCTCTCTTCCCATGCCTTGCCTGTGACCTCTTATCAAAAGGTTGAAGAAATAAGACATGTAGGCATTTGGGGAGTTGTTAGAGTGGGCATGCCAGATTTTAAAATTTATGCCTTTTGAGTTTGCACAAACTGATATTGTTCAACTCATGCTGATTTGACTGAAAGCAACAGAGATTAATTCCAAAGTTTTTTACCAGGGTGCACATGAGCTAAATTAATATGTTATAAGGGCCTGAAGGACCCAAGGAGAGGCCATTATTGGTGTGTGTGTGTGTGTTTATTATTCTCTCGTGGATCTCATGGTCTCTTGCTCCCCTTCTCCCTAGCTTCCTCTATTTACTCATAGTTTCTGTGCCCCTTTGACTTGAACTTACACATGGCTTTGACATTGGTCTTCCAAGGATCTATCAGAGGACAAACCCTGTTTAACTTGTAAGATTATTATGGGTTTGAGGAGCCTTAAGTTTGGGAATGAGCTGAGGTCTTTAACATGAACCTCTAAGAAGACTAAAGAATGGTTTGTTTTTGTACAGTGAATTGAGTCACATGGATTACTGATGAGGTGGCTAAACACACACACACACACACACACACACACACACACACACACAAATTCACTGTGTAGTTATACAACTGCACACCAGATGGCCCTATCTGCCCATGCTTTTACAAGACTAAAGTCTAATTCCTGACAAGGATTTCTACGCTTAAACTGCCTTGTCTTCTTGATTGATACTTCTGCAACAACTGACAAGTGATGAGCATAAGGCTGGTCAGTTTTTGCTGAAAGCAAATTGGCCTTTGTCATGGAGTGGGCACAAGTTTTAGAGGAGCTTTTCTTTAGTTCGTTATCACTACCACAATGATGGTCATTTCCCTCCCAATCAGACACACAAATAACCCAACAATTCTCAAAATCTATTTTAACTTAAGTCATCATTTCTTGGGAAATTAAGCCATGTGTTTTGCTGCCAAACTCACTATGCTAAGGAGACCTGGGAAGCTTCTTTGCTCTTCTGATAAACTTCTCGTGCAGGTAACCAATAAGGAAGAATATTGAGTGGCATTCTTAGGGAAAACTCTCTTCCAGTCAATGTGACTTTACATAGGAAGCTGTGTTTGCATTTCACTTATTCGCTCAAACACACAATAAGTGAAAGTAAAATTATGCTATGTCTCAGAGAAAAATCAAGGAAAATGAAACACCCCTGAATCTAAGTGTCAGTCCACTTAAAGTACGATAAGACCAACAGTCCATAAGATACACTAGGGATTGAGGCTTTTAAGAGAAGTTTGAACCAAGCTCTATAGCTATGGAGAGATAGGGGATGGTTTTCTGTGATTTACCATTGGAACCAAACTCAGCTAAAATGTGTGACAGTGGCCAAGACATTTAACTTTATCTGTTTCATTATCAACCCAATTTTTACAGATGACAAAACCAGAGCACAAGGAATTTAAGTCATTTGTCCAAGGTCACTTAGCAAGGAAGAGCAAGCGGGAGCTGGGACTGGAATCCAAACTTGGGTACTGCCCCCAAAATTCATCTTTTCAACCAAATGCCCTGTGGGCTGCCTTTCCAGAAAGGGGGTTTCCAGTGCTGACCTTCAGTGGATGCCCAGGGGTTTTCACTCTCCCAGGGGAAAGAGAGAGAAATAAGGTAAAAGAAGTGAATTTTTCATAAAAAATATATTCCACTTAAAGTACTGTCCTATTTTCTGTGTGATTATACCTGTTCTGCTTTTATTTATTCTCTGACAACCTATTTTTTAACATGTTTTACTATGAAAGACATATTTCAATCATCCAGAAAAGTTGAGAACGGTACAAATAATACTCATATCACCCCTCCCCATACACACACCTAGATATAACAGCCTGCTGCCATGTCTGCTTTAAAGAGAGAACCTGATTTCTTGAAACATTAGGAGAGAGTGATTTTGTCTGAAAGTCCCCAGGACTAAACAGTTATGCTCATTTTCCCATGAGCCACAAGGGGGCACTCTCACCTGCTGAGCTCATCAAGTCTACTGCAGTGACTTCGGAAATCAGACACAAGTCTAGAAATTTCAGATAAATTTAATTTATATCTAAAGGCCTCATGTAGCTT